ATATATATATATATATATATATATTTCTTCATGTATATTGAAGATAGGATTTTCTATTGTATAATCTAATCACAATGCACAGTAATGAGATGGCAAACTGACAGAGCATGAAACATAATTCTTTGAATAATGTGAATAGTTATTAGAAGGGTATAAATCTCTTTGTTGCTGTCCCATTCTAGATAAAAATATCAAATCACAAAAGACAACCCAACCTTCTTTCCTTACATTTTGCAGGCTTTTTCCTGGCTCAGTGGTGATAGGATAACTGAAAGCACCTTTAACTTGTTTTGTTTTGTTTTGCTATGTGTATGTGAACAAAAAGCTTTTAAAATTTGAATATATATTTATTGTAAAATTTATATTCAAATTATAAAAATAGGAAGTGCATGCAAACAGATATTTCCTTATTTTTTTAAATTGGGGGCAGGAGGATTAAAAATATTTATTGTACAATTATGTACATTATGTTGTACAACTATGTACATTTTTGCCTTGCTCTTATTCCTTTCTGTTTTCTGGTTCCTGCCTGATTGGGATATGCAAAACACTTTTGATTACTCTAAAATCCAGCAGTAAGAGAACAAATGCATATTTTCAGTATTGAATACCATACATGGGATAGGGTATAAGATGGTGAAAGTAAACACAGATCTGCCACTGTATGTCTTTGGGAGACCTGTAGTAGTTGGAAAGGCCCTGTTACGGACCTTTGGGTATTGATTGGCATAAGATGGTGAAAGTAAACACAGATCTGCCACTGTATGTCTTTGGGAGACCTGTAGTAGTGGAAAGGCCCTGTTACGGACAACATCTTGAAAACAAACTAGATTTCTTTGACAAAAGGACTTTGTTTTTCTTTTCTTGCAGCCAGTATAAAATACTTGAAGGCAACCAAGATATGCGTATCCTCTAGAAACTTAGGCTGTATTCGATGTGATTACTTAGAAAGGTTTCCAAATCAAAGCATGTCTAAGAATCAAAAAGTAAGAGCATTTTTTTAAAGTATTGTGTTGTGCTGCTATTGTGCTGGGCTGCTAGAATGTGATTTTATTCAATCTGATGACTTAATGCCAGAGTAAATTATTTCTTTTAATGCAACATGATGAAATAGACCAATAATTGATACTGTGTAATAGAGCAAAAACAGTGTAGCCAGGTCTGCAAGTTTTATGATGTCATCAAGATACATGAAATAAGCAGACTTCTGGGGAAGAAATGGTGACAAAGCCGGCAACCGCAGTGGAATGAATGAGTGATCAGCAGATCAACAAGGCTTCCTGATGCTGATTACTGTTGTTTATTGTAGCATTAGTCATATGACCTTTTCCTACCCATATCAAGCTTCTGAGCTGCCATAACAAAAAGCTGTTTTTTGTGTAAAATCATGAAAATAAATTTCAGTGCTCTGAATGTTCTCGAAGGTAGCCTACCCTTTAATGTTTTTGCAACTGGTTCTGGTTGGTGGATATTTCAACAGAAATGTAAAATGAACTCAACTACTGTATTGGATTTCTGTTTTGTTTGAATAAAAACACAGTTACTCCGAACTTTTTGGTACACTTGAAATCCTACCAAATACTATGTTGGGCATATGACAGTAAACAATAATGGCCAGTAAATAAATAAATGGTAACCCAAGCTAAACTTTGAATGAACTCAGATTATAGATCAAAATATGATATTGTACGTATGTATTTAATATTTTTATAGCTCACTCAACTCAAGAGGCTGAGTGTTTACATACATAGTTTACAACATGTCAGATTACAAAAGCAACAATAGAAATAAATCAGAATAATAAAAAACAATAGTAATAATAAATTAATCCTCCCCCAAGATTGATGCCAATGAGAGTTAGGGTTAAGGGTCCAGTGAAATAAAACTGTCTTTAAAATTCATGTAAAATCCATGATGGAAGCAGCTTTACAGACCTCTGGAGTGGAGAATTCTAAAGTGTGGGGTCTGCCGCAGAATAGGCCTGTCATTTAGTCCACGTCTCCCCATTTTCAGATGGAGGTAACTTATTATTATCATCATCATTATTATTATTATTATCAGGAAACATTTTTGAAAAAAGAAAGAAGGGAAAAAAAGACAAGACACAAAAAGAGACGAAAAAGAACCTACAAAATGAATAAACAGGGAATTTACAAGCATCAAAGGACCAAATTTGTTAGATAAGTGTTCAATATTTCATTAGTTTTCCATAAGTGAAATAACATAATATTTTGTATCACTTTTAAAAACTGTAGGTCATTATTAAAATCCAATTAGTATATAAGTATAAATGGTGATAAATCAGTGCACTGTACTATAAATCACAAAGAATTATGGTATAGTAATTTGTATCCAAACAATGAAAGATGTATCCTTATTTAAGAGATCATTGAAAATTAGAATACTAAAGCTTTATGTTAAGAGAAATCCAAATTTTGGATGTGGTACAAGCCGATATATAGAATTATAATGCAAAAATGGCTTCCCATTTGAATTAAATTCTGTGTCAGATTTATGATGGGAGAACTCTTAACAGGCCTTCCCAAGATGGTTTGACTAGACAGCAGATTTAATTCTGACAAGGTAGTGCCTGATATAAGCTGGTTTTAGACTGTATAGGCTGCATCTTGTATGATCTTTGGAAGCAAGTGATTCCTAATTTTCCTGTCCTGGACCAGTAAACCCACACTTAGAAAGTCCCATGATAAATTCTTTGGTAATATTTTCAGCTTAGTATTTCATTAATGCACCAGGCCCAGTCAGCAATGGAAAATGGAATAAGAGAAGTGTGACAATGTACAGTATATGCTTCTGCTTTGCTTGCATTCTGAAAAAGAAATGTTTCAGAGAAAGGGAGTGGGTTGGTTCATATCCAAAATCATGTAATCTTCAAATATGTTTAATTACAGTGGCAGTTCAGCTTTGTTGGATTCTCTGTAGAAGAAAATATTGATTACTTCATTGACGCTTATAACCTCCCACCTGCAAATATAAATGAAGATTATTCAGAAATAAACATACAGCTAACTTCTCCAGGTAACTGAACAAATAGTGTTGATTTACCTTAAAATAACTTCTGTAAATGTAGGGCTTATATATATTACTTATATATAAATAAATAAAATAAAATTATAGGTGTTACACATATACTGAAAATAAAAATAATGGATCCAGCCGAGCTTCGTCTGATAAGCATGGTATCTAATCTATAGATTTAAAAGGTAAGGTGTTCACTTGCTCTGGAACAGCTTGTACTTTCATGCAGTTTTTCCTAACTTTTATTTTATTTTAAAAGCTTTCTCTCATAATTTGAGCCCATTGATTCAGATTTTTTAATCTTTCATAATTTATAATACAAAAACTCTTGTTTAATTTCAGACTGTGAGGACAATAGCTTGAAATATTGCCAAAACTGTATAGAAAAAGGTAAGTACAGACTGGAAATCTGGTAGACTTTTTGCGTGAAACAGAAAAAAATGAACTTATGATTTATAGTTTTGATGATTAGACAGGATAGATTATAGAAAGAAGAAGTTTATGTTGTAACCATAGAGTAAGAGGTAAATTTATAATTGCACTTATAACTGTTGTAAAGAAAAAAGGTAAGTACAGACTGGAAATCTGGTAGACTTTTTGCGTGAAACAGAAAAAAATGAACTTATGATTTATAGTTTTGATGATTAGACAGGATAGATTATAGAAAGAAGAAGTTTATGTTGTAACCATAGAGTAAGAGGTAAATTTATAATTGCACTTATAACTGTTGTAAAGAAGATCGGAATCTACTTCTTTGTATCTTTTTTCTTTCTTTTCTATTTTTCTTTTACTTTTTTTTCCTTTCTTGCACTTTTAACTTTCTCTTTGACTTCTTTCTTTTTCTTTTCTTTTTCTTACTTTATATTAGTTTGTATTAGTTTTTATCTTCCT